ATAATGTGCTCTTGTTTTTCCACTTGAAATCAATTTTTAATATTTTATTGTCAGTTTTTAATTCATAAACATATAGGTAGCATAAAACCAGCCTCCAAATAAACAAGAGTTTTCATATTCAGCATCTGTTTTATTATTCTCCTCATTTCTTTGACCTAAAGGATTTTCTATCATGCAAACCTGCTTATTTTTTAAAGGTAACATTTCTAGGTAGTATAGCAGAAAGAATATTCCTTGTAAACTAATCATCCCATTCACATTATTTTTTCGGCTAGTGAAAAGTTAGGACTCAAAACTTATCTTCCCTTACTCTAGTTTCTCAGATCATGTAAATCTTTAACCTTTTACCAAAATTTAGTCTCTTTCTCAATAATCAATCCAGAGGGGTTAAGAAAAAGTAGACTGCTGTAGGCAAGAAAGCATTTTGCTTATGTCTTTAGCATTTGCAGTGTATAATAGGATTTCTGGTAAAGTCTCCTAGTGGAGGGTGTTTACTTTGCATTAATTAATATATCAATGTAGAACTATTAGTTTTCTCCAATCATACTGATGACTTTGTCATTAATCAACAAATTATTAAAATGAAAATAACTTTAATAAAAGTTTGGTTTAATAGCAGGTGATTATAATAATTTTAATAATCTTATTACTAAAGAAAACCTAACAAAGAATGATACTGTTTTCCAATTTTTACTATTGTTTTATTCAAGTTGTAAATTATGCAATGGATTTTTTAAAAAGATTAGCATGAACTAGAAACTGGGAAAATAAAATATTCTTTTATGTCTCTTAGACTTTTAAGATCTTTAAAAAAAAAGCGCTTCTTACTTTGTGTCTCATTTCTTTGTCTACAAAATATGATTAATGACACTAATCTGGAAACAACTTATAGCAAAGATGCAAGAGATAAAGCAGAATCTGAAATTTAATTCTTGCTCCTTATCAAGGAAACCTTGTATAATAAAAAGCTGCATTATTCAGATGCTGAGTATCCAAAGTTCTTAATGTTATTGGAGCTGCAGGTATGCAGAAGAAATTGTTCCCTATGTGAAGCCTTTCTTTTCTTTTTTATACAGTTTAATGCAGACCCAAGGGCAGACAGTTTTAGGAGGTGGGCTTTACTTCCACTATATATTCTTGACATGCAAGATCATAAAAAGACAATACAATATAATAAGTCCAATTTAAAAATTACATTCAGCAGCCATGTTAATACAGACATCTCCCCAGAAGAAAAAAAAAGAAATCTAGGGTCACTAAGGTTCATGGTACAAGAATAATCAGGTACAAGGAACTGGAGCAGAGGCTAAACAGAAAACATCGTGCCTGAACATTCCATCAAGGCCAATTTGGTCATTTCTATGGCCAAAATGACCCATGTGGGAAAGTCAAAATAGCAGTGGAGAAGGGTCACAAAAGGTCTGGGGAAGCTCAGCCCCAAGAGCAACAGCTTGGGGCAGGGATGGGGGGTGGGATATGGGGGTTGTTGAACCACTAGGACAGCTACAGAGCTCAGGGTGCGAAAAGCACCTTAGGGAAGATCTGTTTTCAACTACTTCTTTAAAAGAAATGCTGTTATCTGACTTACAAATGTGGAAAGAAAGATGAAGTAGCCGAGCCCAGGGTGGGCACAGCCTTGATCTCCAGTGCACCACTGAGAACATGTTATGTGCACCTGACAATGACAACCCCCAAGAGAAACTTAAAACTGCTTTGGCCAAAATGAGCACCCAGGAACTTGACACTGAGGTGCCAGGATTGCGGGGTGTGGCGAGGCTCCCAACACCTCTGATGCCACAATCCAATGATTCTAGGACATATCTGGTGAGAAAAGCTTAACAAGGGCTTTTTAACAGTTGGGAAATACAGGGGCTAAGAAATTTGTTTAGGGCTACACTTTTATCCTCTTGTAGGGTTTCAGGGCTATTTTTTTATCTCATTTTTAGTTGTTCAAAAACCTATTACTAGGGCCTCCCCCGGTGGGGTAGGCGGTTGAGCGCCGTGCTGTGAAGCTGTCCGCAGCCTCTGAAGCGCGGGTTTGATGCCAGCGAGGGTCCCACATGGTGTGGCAGACCTCTCCTGTCACACCTGCTGCTCCCCTCAGCAGTGTGTTTCAGTCAGTCTGCCTGTTCTGTTCCCCGCTTTCTCTGGTGAATCCTCTCACCCTCCCGCACTTCTGGCCTTTACCCTGGTTCTTGTATAAATAAATAAATAAATAAATAAATAAATAAATAAATAAATAAATAAATAAATAAATAAAAATCTTTTAAAAATAAAAACATATACTAGAGTTTGAAAAATATGCTCTACTGTAATTCCTTTGTGAAGGCAGCCACGGAAAGATCTGTCTGTAGTCACAGCAGAACTTGGGAAATTCAACAAGTCACTGTAAACTGAATCCTCAGAAAGCAGCTACAGAAACGTGGCACCTTTAGCAGGTAGGATAAGGGTGAGCTGTTTCCTCCTGGGCACCTCAATGGCTCTTTCAGGCTCCAGAGAAACAACCCAGTGCCAGTCATAGGCTTCGGTGCCCAACAGGTGCTCAGTGCTGCTGGCCAAGGTTTTAGGGTTCTTAACTGACAGCTTGCATGCTCTGACTAGCTACAAAGCTCCGGGGCCTACTGGCCTACTGCACTTGTCTTCTGACACCTTAAAATGGAATGATTCTGTCCCACATTGTATAAGCAGGTGGTATCTGCTATTCTAAATCCAAACACTTCAATCATTTGTTGATACCTTCATCTACTACTTGATAGTTTCTGATTTCTATTCCCCTATAGACATCCATAGTTCAGATCTCCCATCAACCCCAGGGCACCCATTCAAGCGCCTGCAGGTCTCATTTTTCTTGCCCATCAGGTGGGTGACCAGAGTGCCTCTGGCCTTGTTCATCTCCCAGAGCAACAGGCTGGCTTTGGTGAGGGAAGGATGAGCAGCCTCAGACAGTGACGGAGAAGTCTGCACTTTGCTGCAGTCTTCGCAAATCCTTTGCACTGCAAAGATTCTGGTTACAGTGTATGGTGCAAGCTTTCTGCAAGACCTTCACTCCAGTTTTCACATGTGTCGGCCTCAGAATGATAACCTGGTTGCCATCTTCAAATTCATCAGTCACACAGTCACCTCCGCTATAAAATGGCACAATCTTATTTCTCATCAGGGACTGTGCCTCTTTAAAAATGTTGTGTAGTTCAATCCTGTGTGGGTGGTTTGCATTCTGGCTCCAGCTCTGAGAAGAGGCAGACTCCCGTGTCACCCTCTTGCTGGCTTGCCGAGTATCTCCTTTTCTTCCACATCTAGTGTCTATTTCAAAAAGCTCTTTTGCTAGAATCTTTTCCAGTGTTTGTAATCATTGTCATCTGGGAGACCACTGGAAGTACTTACTTGCTAATCTATACTTTTTATTTTATTTTGTATATTTTTACATCATTTTTCTTTTTTCCACAATGTATGCATTTTCATCTTGGTTATATTCCCCATACAATTCCCACCCCCCTTATTTTGACCCTACTCCCTCCTCCCTCCCCCCTAGTGTGTCTCTGGTTCATAGTTGCTTGTTGATTTTGATTTTTACTTAGTATTAATTAGTCTTTTTCCTGATCCCTTATTTAGGTTTTCTAAATTCCTGCTATGAGTGAGGCCATCCGGTATTTTTCTTTTTGGCTTATTTCGCTGAGCATGATCCCTTCCAGCTCCATCATGTTCTATACTTTTTACTATCCTTTGGATTTCCCGAAGCCAGATGATAGAGGAGGTTGGCTTCCCCCAGCCAGGCCTGGGTTGTGTTGTTTCCGGAGCGCCAGAAGAGGTCTCAGCTGGTTGGCCTTGGGGCCGGCAGGTGAAGCGGCCAGGTGGAAGGTCAGGCCTTTCCTACTCCCCCCTGCACCGGAGCTGCACGGCATCCCTCCACCCGCCAGGGAGTTCTGAACCCGGCAGCTGGTGTAGGGGCCAGGCGGGCGGGCAGTAGCTACTGGCCGCATTGGCCGCTCGGGGCGTGGAGGTGCGCCCGGGTCCACAGTGCGCCCCCCGCCAGACCTCACGGTCGTCCTAGGGGTTAGAGGGTGGCCACGCTCTCTAGCCGGGAAGCCCCAGGGTGCAAAGCCTCGGGCGCCCAGCCCGCAGGGCAGCCAGGTGGGTAGTGCCCCGGGGGGCGGTACCGAGCCCGGTGGGGGGTGCAGAGGAGGGACCCCGGGAGAGGAAGGAGCCCCGCTCTCCGCTGTGGAGCGGGAGGACTTGCAGCTGCTGAGCTCATCCCCGCGCCCCCCAGCCGCGGTGATGCTCCCACAACTCCACCCCCCTTTTAAAAGTAATACTTTAGCCTCTAGCGAGCAAGTGCGAACAATGAGATCAGGTGTCTCAAAACGCTGAATGGTAAGTAAAACCCGCTTGTTGCCCTTAGAAAAAGTGCTATTGTCATATTTGGTGGCCCCACATTTCTCCTGTCATCATTTCCCCATGTGTAGCCAAGGTACCAGCTCCACTGCCAAAAAAATAAAGCTGAACGAAGAAAAGATTATTTTAATCAATTTGATATTCATTATTAATAATTATTTACTGTTAAGAAAATGCATGGAAAATAAACCTACACATGAACCAAAGAAATACACTTAGTCTTACTAATTCAATGATGAGGAAGAAACAGGAACCTGGTTTTAGAACATTCCACTTCCACAAGGCTCACCCTGTAGATTTATTTTTTTTAGTAAGATCTTTAAAATAATCTTGATTTAACGTTTTTTTTTATTTTCTGACGCCTATATTTGAGTAAAACCATATCCTTACCAATTTAAAACTCGAAATTTGAACCTTTCCAATTTAAGATTAGAGTCTCATTTTACATATAGGTATGTAAACATTTGATAAATCAACAAAATTTGAGAAAAAATATTCATGATGATTGAATAAAGTGATCATGGTATTTACACATAGTGGAATGCAATTCAGTCTAATAAAAGTAGGAAATCCTGTCACACATGGCAACATGGGTGATCTAGAGGACCTACCTTTTGCTAAGTGAAAGAAGTCAGTCACAGGACAGTACTGCATGATTCCACTCATTTGAGGCAGGTGAAATAGTCAACCTCATAGAAAGAAATAGAATTAAATAGAATGATTATTGCCAGGCTTGTGGGAGAGGAAAATACAGAATTGCTGCTCAGTGGGTATGAAGTTTTTCTTATGCAACATGACTACATTCTAGAAATCAGCTTTACTTTAGGCCTTATGTAAGTTAATAATGGCTAATTATTAGTTAATTCTGTGTTAGTTAATAGTACTGTATTTGTTAATGATGATGTGTGATGCACTTAAAAGTTTTTTAAGAAGGTAGATCTCATGTTCAATGTTTTCCCCACACATGAAAAATGTGTTAAACCAGGTGCGTCCCTGGGCAGAGTAGTTTGCTCACCCTCTTCATGCCATATTTTTATACCAAAGTGTTGATCATGGTGCTTTATTTATTTATTTAATGTCTTTACCTTTCTTCTTCTATGTGTTTTGCCTTTTTTTCCCTCCTTGTTATTTCTTACTCTCTTGTATTCATGCTATATGGTTGTTTTATGTAGTTTTGTTGCCTTTCTGGTAGTTTCAAAGCCAAGTAAGTGATCAATAGATAACAAGAAACTTTAGAATAAAATAAGGGAAACATTGTAAAACAGCATCCAGTGGGAGATCCAACATCAGTACACAAACAGTGGCGAATGGTCACCGGATACCTTTCTCTCAGAATACAGACATCAAGGGAAAAATAAAACAAAAATAAACTACGAGCTCATAATATAAAAACTGTCTACAAATGTGAGCATATGAGAACCCCCAAAGTAGAAAGTAAGTTTGTTGATCTTGGTAAAAAGGAAAGTTTTCTAAACCAGAAAAAAATCACTTCAGGATACCAAAGCGTTAACAAAATACAGTCCTCTGCCTGAAATAACTACAATATTTCATCACTGAAAATTTTTTTAAACAGAGTCATTATCAATTGTGGGTCATTTTATTAATGAATATTCATTTTATTAGTGAGTATACATTTTTAATACTAAATACACCTATATATTTTCTTAAAAATCTTCACTATAAGATATATAAAATATTAACTAAGAAGGAACTTAATGGAATATTAAAATCCAATAGACAGTACTATATTGCTTGCTGACTGTGCTTTCCTTGTAAAGTTATAAGTCACAGCAGGATTGTCTGTATGTAATATTAAATTTTTGAAACCGAATAGTTAAGGTACAAGAAATGACTTCTTTTTACAGCACTGCCTGACTATAATTCTTTCTCTTAGGTGATTCAAGTAAAAGATAGATCATTTGAAGTAGGGCTAAAATAAAAAGGAAACTCCACTTTGAAAAGAAAGAGAATACAAAAAATAATTTGAGTGGTTGCACATTTGGCAAATTTCCCTTTGAACCAAATGATCTTTCCAGGCCTTAATGATGAACATGGAGAAGAAACAGGATGACTCTCCTTTTGATCAGAGTGGCCTCACTGCTTATCTGCTGATTAGACAACCTGCTTCTTCCTTATTTATCACTTTAATGTTACTCTTAGTATAAATGACTGGTCTGCAAAATGCTAAAACACAATTATAAATACTGTGACCAGCTTGCAGAAGTGCCAGTGTAAGCAAGAGCACTGATCTTCCATTTATCACCATTTGCTTTGATAGAGCAACATTCATTTCATTTATCACTTGATCCCTTTCTATTATTTCTTTCATGGGAGGTGTCTGATCAGCATTATTTATCTCAAATTGTGTATTCTGAAAGCTTTTAAGGAGCTCCTAACAAGGACACAATTACTGAACTTATTTAAGAAAACACCCAGCCTTATAAGACAGAGGTTGATATTCTGATTGCCTTTTTAAACAATGAGTTATTAGGAGAGATTCTTTAAAAAGGATTTTCACTTGTGTGTATGTTAACCAGAAGGTACACATGAAAATGAATGAAAAAATGATATGAAAGTTATACTTGACATAATCTGTAAAAATCGAATGACTAAACAAAGAATGTATGCTCCAGTGGTTATTGTGGCAAATGAAGAGTTAAGAATTGTAGGATTCTTTCAGCGAATCCATGAGGTGGCTGATTGTAGGTTATCCATATTGCAAAGTTATCCACCACTGGGAGAGAAGGCACTCACCACTGTTGTCTTTATTATCTCTTACTGTGCAATCACCACTCATTTGCTTTTTTTTGTTTCTCCCCAAAAGCAGGAATGGTAATAACCATCATGCTTTAAGATGATAAAAAAAGATATGAGATTCATGAATGAAATGGCTGTTTTTCCTTCTGTGATACTGCTCTGCACCAGGACATGCTCCTCCTTGTGCTATGAAGTTTGTAATGCAGTGGTGTTTTATTTTGTCTTGCAAGTAGCAGAAGTGAAAACACTCATTTTAAAACATGTAGGTAAGACAAGAAGATAGAAGCAGGACTCAAAACTGAATTCTGACCCAAATTCTGGAGGAGATATTGAGCAACCAGTATTTCCTAAACTTTTGTGGACACGGCTATTTGAGCAAGAAAGTGGTTTGCATTTAGCATTTTGTTTTTACCCCTGTGGCCTTAAAATAAGTATGTTTCTCTCATCCTATTCTTTATTGAAGTAACTTTGGTTTCAACACTGTGTATGACTAAGGGAATAGGTTCACACCTTCCAGGAAATTTGAAATAATTTTTGTCATTTTCATGCTCGAAGATAAAAACAACATACAAATATACCAGATATTATTCTAGGAACTTTAAATATCTTAGCTCATTTAATCTTCACAGCAACACTGATCTAAGTACAACCATCATCCTCATTACCTAACTGCAGAGCCAAGTTTACATAGCCATAAGTGTATTTCAGCCCAAATCAGTGGCTTCCAGGATTCCTGTTTATTTGCTACATTGTACTTCATTTAATGTAACATTTTTCTTGATTTTAATTCTCTATGAATTTTTCCTTGTTAATTTTAATAAATTTACTTTAAAAGAAACCTTTTGCCCCTATCATAAATGGAAAACCAATGTCATCAATCCAAGCTGTTTACTATAAATATTAAAAAGATACAAAACATGGCTGTTAATTTAAAAGCACAGAGATAATAATAAATTTAGTTATCTTGCATTATATCAGAGTAGACGGAGACTTACTTGCCCCAAAATTCAGAATAGTTCAGTTGCACATTGGGAAGACAATGCCAGTGTTCCAGTTTCCTTCCAGGAGTCTAGTCACCAAACAGCAGGTTAGCCTTCTCGTTTCATTAGCATCTCATCAGCCTGCTGGCTGATTTCTGGAAATTGCAGCTCCCCCATTCTTAGTTGCATTTCCTAGTTGCAAACTAGTGAGCTAGTTTGAGAATTAAAATTTCAATCTGTCTCTGAAAGCTTTATTGTTTATTTCCCATTCTAGATACCTTCCCATTTCTAATTCCATATGGCTTCCGAGATTTCTTCTCTCCTACTCTCAATAGAGCATGGCTCTTTTGGGGGTGTTGAGTTCTACAGCTAGAGACCTCAAGCTGTCAGAAAAGAACTGCAAAGTCAGTATAAATCACCAGAACACATTTCCCTCTCTGTTCTCCCCCCACTGGCCCCCTCCCCTGGACACATGTGTACCCACACTCATGCACATGCTCACACTCTGTTCTGCCCCCTAAACTCACAATACCCAGAGTCTTGGGAGTCAAACACCCTTGCTCCGTCTTAGCTCTAGATGGCTTCCTGCCCTCTCATCCTCTGAATGACCTTTTTTGCCCAACTCTTTCATCAGTTGTCCCTTTTTCCCTCCCTAGTCTTTGTTTTCACTCTGGATGAGTATACAGCAGTGGGGAAATATTAACAACCAAGATCAAGATGTCTGATCCTGTAACTACCTCATGAACTACATTCAGCATACACTACACTTTAAAAAGTGCTCTAATAGATGATGTCTATGGCCCATTTCTGTTTTAAAATTACATGACCTAAAATAAACCAGGTCAGCCACCTGATCATCAGTAATTGTTCCCTAATAATCGCATTAAGACTTCACTGCAACTGTAACCAGTTGGGTGATTACTTCCTGGCCTGACTCTAATTAGCAATGTTGAAATCATTGCAAATTTTAAGATTTCTATGGGAGCCTCTTCATTGAAATCACACCCTCTCCCCTAATGACTGAACTGCTATGGCAACACTTACCTGGAATGAGGGCATCTGTGTATCTGCATGAAAAGAAGAGAACTTGTGAAAAGGGGTTTGCACTGATTTGAATAGGCTAATGGACTAATTAAACAAAACCAGGGCAATTCAGAAAAATTGACTTCAAAAAACAAAGTTTAATGTGCAAGGCTACTCTTGGAGACAGTAATGCCTGTATAGCTGAGTTCTTGATTGGGGAGGGACACCCCCTCAGTGAATATAAAGAAGGTTTGATTGTGAGGTATGAGGTTTGATTGAGACCTGAGAAACTATACCTTAAAAACTAAAGGATTGAAGTGAAATTATCATGAGTCTTGAGTTTAGAGCAATAGAATACAAAGATATATTTCATTCCTATGAAAATATAGGAATTATTTCTCTCATACAGTATTATTAGAAGTGAGATAACTATGAGCTACTTGAATATATATATGTATATATATATGCATACCTACATACATATATATGTGATGCTTCTAAAGTTATTCTTCTATGCTTTTGATAGTGTAAGGGGAAAATCTGTGAAAGCCTGACAATGGGAACCACAGACTGTTAGAAATTGGCACACCATACAGTGGAGTCAATTAGCTATAGTAGGACATAGCAAAGGTAGAGCGTTTTATGTAACTGCTAAAGTGGGATAATTTGAAATCCAATGCAAGAAATGAAGGAGAAAAGTGCATTTCTCAATAAGTTAACTCATATTTATAGCTTCAACCACATCTACATTACAATGGAGGAATTAGATCTACATTTTTTCAGTTGCTTGATTAGTTGGTGACTGGCTCTATTAGAATTTATTGCATCAGGCAGTTTTATTTGAATTTTGTTTTCCTCCTCTATGCCATAATGGGTAAAGATGTGGTTAATGTCATCAAAGACATTAAATATAACCAAGCCAATTAGGAAGTTTTCATCCATTACTTTCTGAAATCTATATACCAAGTTCCAAAATGTCATTTAAAAAAGACTCCAAATGAAACTATACAGTTGTATTTTCACTCAACGCCAAGAGGAGACCACCATGCTGGATGGGTGTGCACCATATACCATGAGGGCAGAGTCTACCTGCAGAGTCTACAGTGACTCCCAGTTATGGAAAAAATACAGATGTTTCCCTCTGTAGCCTGTGGATTGGAAAAAGTGGACCTTCAATGAAGGCAGCCAAAGCAAGGTATACAGTAAATTCTGCAGGGATTGTGGGATACATAATTTCTAAGTCACAGACCAGAAAGAAAATGTAACTGAATATTAAAGTAATCTTCAGGGCCAATAAGTGCTGAGCTGGGATTATACCAAAGGAGGACTCCAGGCCTTGGCAAGTGAAGAGAAAGTAGAGAATATCAGATGCAGACTTCAGCCAAGATTTCAGTAATTGATGCCACAGGAGTAGTTACCAGGAGGTAACAAAGGGCCATTCTGAACAAGGGTCAACAATAGCGTAAGGTCACAATGCTTGGATCCCAGGGCCTTCTCTAGCTTGAGGGCCCGTGTGTGTCAGCATCACCCAGATGTCATCTGGGGAAAAGGAAGTATAAAGACATTTTATCCTTTAAACTCAACAATAAGTAAACAACTAATAAATAGTGGGCAAAAGATCTGAGCAGATACTTCACCAAGGAAGCAAATAAGCATATGAAAAATACTCAAAAGTATTAATCTTTAAAGAAGTGCAAATTAAAACCTTAAGATACTACTACATACCTATTAGAATGACAGGTTTTATAAACATATATTTAGATTACATGACATTATGTTTTGATTTACATATATACATAGTGAAATGATTATTAAAATTTAGCTAATTAATATATCTGTCTCTTCACATAGTCAGCAGTTTGTAACTGTGTAATGAGAGTAAATGATATCTACTCTCCTAGCAAATTTCCAGGATACACTAGGGTATGATCAACTGTAGTTGTTATCCTGCACATTAGAATGCTAGATTTATTCATCCTACATAACTGCAACTTTGTGTTCTTAACCAGCATCTCAGACCAATGGAATCGAATAGAAAATAGAAAATCCAGAAATAAACCCACAGATTTATGGTCAACTAATATTTGACAAAGAAGCAAAGAATATGCATTGGATCAAAGAAAGTTTGTTCAATAAATGGTGCTGGGAAAACTGGGTCGCTACATGCAAAAGAATGAAGCTTGACTACTACCTCACACCATACACAAAAATCAACTCAAAATGGATTAAAGAACTAGACATAAGACCTGAAACCATAAAATACATAGAAGGAAATATAGGCGAAACACTACATGATATGCACATCAAAGACATCTTTACAGACACATCACCCAAAGCAGTGATAGTGAAGGCAAAGATCAACAGCTGGGACTACATCAAATTAAAGAGCTTCTGCACAGCAAAAGAGACAATAACAAAAACAAAGAGAAACCCCACCAACTGGGAGAACATTTTTGCACACAACACTAATGATAAAGGACTGATCACAAAAATCTACAAAGAGCTGATGAGACTCAACAACAACAAAGAAAATAATCCAGTCAAAAAATGGGCAGAAGAGCTAAAAAGAAACTTCTCTGAAGAAGAAATGCAAATGGTCAACAGGCATATGAAAAAATGTTCAACATCACTTGTAATCAGGGAAATGCAAATCAAAACTACAATGAGATACCATCTTACACCAGTGAGAATGGCACATATTAAAAAAACTAGCAACAACAAATGTTGGTGAGGTTGTGGAGAAAAGGAACTCTCCTGCACTGCTGGTGGGAGTGCAAACTGGTCCAACCACTATGGAGAGCTGTGTGGAGATTTCTTGAACTACTAAACATAGAGCTTCCATATGATTCAGCAATCCCACTCCTAGGTATTTACCCAAATGACACAGAAACAGTAATTCCAAAGGGCACCTGCACCCCTATGTTTATAGCAGCACTATTTACAATAGCTAAGCTATGGAAGCAACCCAAATGCCCAAAAATAGACGACTGGATCAAGAAGATGTGGTACATATACACAATGGAATATTACTCAGCAGTCAAAAAAGATAAACACATGCAGTTTGCAGCAACATGGATGGCGCTGGAAGGGATCATGCTCAGCAAAATAAAAAGAAAGAAAGAAAGAAAAAGAAAAATACCAATAGTCTCACTCATAGCAGGAATTTAGAAAACCTAAATAAGAGACCAGGAAAAAGACTAATCAACACAAAGTGAAAATCAAAATCAACAAGCAACTATAAACCAGAGACACACTACAAGGGCGGGGGAGGGGGAGGAAGGGGCAGGGAAAGGAAGGACTAGCGTCAAAATAAGGGGGGTGCAATTGTATGGGTAATATAACCAAAATGAAAATGCATGCATTGTGCAAAGATGAAAAAATATGTAAGATTTATATAAAATAAGATAAATAAAACAAACAGAAAACAATATAAAGGAACACGAGTCTGATCTAACAACATGGATGACTCTGCAGTACATTTTCTTTGGTGAAGTAAGTCAGACTCCAAACGTAATATATTGTATAATTCCATTTCTATGACATTCTGGAAAAGGCATAAACTTGGGGGCAGAAAACAGAGTCACAGTTTCATCTTAGGTCAATTTGTAGTTCTGCTCTACCTATGCTCTCAACTTAGAGAATTTGAATCTTGCATAGTGACCTATCTGAGAGCTCAGTATTGGGGGGAGTTGATCCTCCTAGTCTAACCTAGTCTCTTAAAAATATACTAGCTTACTGAAGTCATGCTGGTGGGCATATACACTTGAAGCACATGCTCCTTAACTAAATTTACTTATTAACCTCCTAGGAAAGACACAAAACCAAGTTTTATAATGTTTTTACTCATAAAGACCAGCATCTGACCTTTTCAGTATTAACATAATCATTTTCTTCCTTTCGGAGTCTAATACATTCTTTGTAGGAATAATACAAATGTAGACTTGTAAAATCTCAGACAGGAGGAAAAATATCAAAGAAAAAACCAAGTGCAAACTAATAAAGCATAAACCTTTGTACCATAAAATGCTGCAGGGGGCCTTGTTGCCCCAGCTAGAT